GTTCCAGGGGATCTGACAGCCTCTTCTGACCTCTGCAGGCATTGCATGACATGGGTGCACCTACCTACCTACATGCAGGCAATACAATCATACACATAAAGTAAAAATAATAAATAAAATGTTTTTTATAAAATCTCTCCTATAAAGCTGTAGAAATAGCTCAGTGATTGTGGGGGCCACAGAAAAGCCAATCAAACTAGGCCTCTATTTTAAATGCCCTCCATAAGAGATGTTCTGTGAAATCTGTTTTGGTGTCTTATGATTGAATACTTTCCTCAAACTTCTGGTGATTTTTTTCCAGACTGTTTTTCAAATAAGCCAGCACCAAAAAACTGGTTTGAGACTTTTTGGTGTGTGATGATTTATTAACTAGTAGTCCTCCCTGTTAGGGTACTGGTTCTCAATCTTCAGTGGGCATTAGAATCACCTGGTGGCCTTGTTAGTCATTAGTACTCACCCTGGAGTTCCTGATTCATAGGTCTGGCATGGGTCCCAATGTCCATTTCTGTCAGGTTCACCAGTGATGCTCTCCTTGTGTGGTTCACATTCCAAGGACCATGACTTGTCCTTTTAGGATATGTTCAGAGCCTATAAGTCCTCCTTGTCTTCAGTGGTGCCCTAGTTACCCAAGTCTGGAGTCACTAGTTCTTCCTGTTCAAAGTGTAAACCTTCCATCTTCTGCTTGCTCACCTGGTAGAGGGGACCAGTACTGCCTGTTTTAGGCCCCTCCTCATGACACCTTCAGAAGAAAACTCATGTTTCTAATCGTTGAATTTGGGGGGGCAGTTGATTTTGCAGCGGCTTGTCCACTGAGTCACTCAGAATTCTCCACCTAAGCCAGTTACTAATGTGTTTGTATTTCATCTTATAATAATGTGTTGACTTTTCTAATCTGCTGTCACTGTGCTGCTTTTTCCTTGGGAACTTTGCTGATCCTTGATTATCAATCTGAGAGGCAATGTGGCACAGACTTTGTCTGGATTTGAACCCTGGTTCCACCACTTCATAGCTGACAAACTTAAATTCCTTAAATGCTAGTGATTCATCTGTAAATGGGAATCACCACCTATTTGAGTACTAAGGATTCAGTTAATTAACAAACTTCAAACAATCATGTAGTAAATGCTAGTGAGTAGTAGATATTTATTTTTTGTCATTTATTTATTTATTTAGTGTGTGTGTGTGTGTGTGTGTGTGTGTGTGTGTCTTAAATAGGGTCTCACTATGTAGCCCAAGCTGGCTTTCAACCCTCCATCTTCCTGCCTCCTCTTCCTGAATGTTGGGGTTACATGTGTATATCATCATTCCTGGCTCAGTAGATATATAAATAATTTTTTTGTTTTGTTTTTTTGAGACAGAATCTCACTATGTAGCCCTGACTGGCCTGAAACTCAATATGTAGACCAGGCTGGCCTCAAACTCACAGACATTCACCTGCCTCTGCCTCCTGAATGCTGGGAATAAAGGCATGTGCCACCATGCCTAGCTATTAATCATAATTTTTAAAGAGAGGCCATCTCAGTGTGTTGAGCAGGCTGGCTCTAAACTCTTGTACTCAAGTGATCCTCCTACCCTAGTTTTACAAGTAGTTAGGATTATATGTACATGCCACTAAGCTTGACTTAATAATAATTTAATGGTATTTCCAGAGAAAGTATAAATAAATTCATGTGTTCATTTTGTAAGGTTTTTGTTTTCTTTGTTTTGGGGTTTTGAGACTTGTAGCCTGAGCTTGCCTAAAACTTGTTTTGTAGCCAAGACTGACCTTGAACTCCTGATCCTCTTGTTTCTACCTTTTAAGTGTTGGGATTATAGGCGTGCCCACTGCCCTTGGTCTAATGTGCAGTTTTGAGTTTTATCTTAGTGCCTGATGAACTTTGGATGATTTTATCCAAACAAAATATTATTGCATTAAGAGTTTGCAATCTACTGCTTTACTTTGATAGCTTGCATTTAACAGATGAGTACCAAGCTCAGAAAGGAAAAGGTCTTGTTCAAGGTCACAGATTGAATTAGACAAAAGTAGGATTAGACTTCTAGTCTCTATATTCAGAATCAGGTGTTCATTCCATGCTCTTGTGTTTTCATATTTTGTTACTGATAGAGTCTGAACAGATTTCAGCTGCTACGATGTGAATTTGAATTAATCTACCTCAGTTCATTTGTGCTCATCCTTAACAAGATGTCACTTTTTCTGTCTTCCCAAGGAAGAGAGCATTCACAGTCTTATCACATCCTCAAAGTTTACTGCCATTGCTTGAACCTAGACTTCGTTTTCCTTTTGAATAGTTAAGCAGAGACATGACAGAAAAGACTAATATATTAGGTTTATTTAAAAATCACATTCTGCCAGGTGTGATGGTGCACGCCTTTAATCCCAGCACTTGGGAGGCAGAGGCAGGTGGATCTCTGTGAGTTCAAGGCCAGCCTGGTCTATATAGCGAGTTTCAGGACAGCTGGGGCAACAGGGAGACCCTGTCTCAAAAAAGTCAAAAAAAAAAAAAAAATCACATTCTATCTATAGTAATGTGAATCTCTTATCAAAACAAAACAAAAACCCAT